CTGTATTTTTTATTTAATTGGTATTTTTCTACTGAAGCACGCAGCTTTATTTTTTCTCTTAACAAATTATTTTTATTTTTGTCCGCATTTATCGGAATTGTTTTCAACTTTTCGTATGCCTTATAATCCCTTCACTCATTTCTTCCATGTGCGCGCAATTGGGGCAACCGAGTGGCCAATTAATGTGCGACCAATTTAAAGTACACTTTCGGCGAATTGGATTCTGTTCCAAGGAGAAAAGGCACAACTACACCTCCGCGAAGTTTTCACAAAAGAACAAGGAGTTCAATATCGCCCGCAGGAACCAGAAACATGTCAAGGTGGGCGCCTGCGACCCAGTAGCTGTATATCAAACAGTGCCAATGCATTTGTAATGGCTGACGATGAACATATACTTATATTTTACCTACTTCCATGCAAGAGCATCGGATTTATGTAAGCATTGATCTGAACCCTTTAGGGTGCAGCCTCTAGCAGGTCTAGAAATATACCTGTTTATTTATTTATTTATTTACTTTTACTGAGAAAGTATGCTTTTCGGCCCACTGCGTCATACTTCGCTACTGCAGTGAATTACACGTTATCTTAGGCATTCCCAGTTACTACTCCATATTCGGAACTTATTACGCCTAGCCGTTTTTTGTATTATTTCTTTCTTTTTTCTGTGTCTGCTTCCAAAACAGAACGTGAATTTAGCGGAGGCTCGAAAATGGCGTTATCCGCCGCCGACCGCTAAAAATGCAAGTATATCCATAACCACTGCACCTAGCTTACTTATTTTACCTTTGTCGTAACGAGCGCCTAGGGTTTGTCCTAGACCGCCCACTGTTGTCCTGTTTTAAGTGACATTTCTGCTCCAAAACGGCGTTGATTCCTCTTGTTTGGAGATTTACACTTTGAAATTCGCGCCAGGTTGGCGGTTCTAATATGCTGTTTCTGGGCTATATTTTGGCTCCATTTTCCAATATTAGGGTATTTTCTAGTTAAGTGGGCTGGCATATCAGTCGCACCTTTCTAAGAAAGGCTAAATTGTTAGCCACTGCTGTTATTTCCTTTGTTTCCACCCTCCACTTTTACGATCTAATTTTGGCTTGCTTATTCCTTTCCATGAGCCCGCTACTAATGGATGCTCGAAATGCGGTGATGTGACCAAAGAAAATGGATCAAATTTACTCTAATTGATCGTTTACTAATGGAATCAGGCACCTCAAGGTTTGGCAGCGGTAGCCGGTGAAAAGCGCAGAATTCGTACATAAGCTACGGAGACCCAAACTACTGCCTTCAAAAATGTCGAGGCCTGCAAAACGTTTGTATTTATCCCTGCTTTACTGTTCGGAAAGATAAACACGATCAAAGGCAGTTGTTAACGATATTTCTTCTCCATACATGAGCATGGATGTTATGTACAATTTGATCTGATCCCACGCAGGAACAGCATCTAGCGCTTGTCTAGAAATATACTTATATCTATATTTAATTTATACGGTTCTCTGCCGTGTATAGTAGTGCATAAAAACCACTTTCATCCTACGCATCCTACCCATCCTACCCAAATACTTTCGCTCAAGTATTTTCTACTGCTGCTAAGGACTGACTGTTACATTGGATCTGGCGTTTTTGCTTTGTGGCATAAAGACACTGCAGTCTGCTGTAGCACTTTTCCTGACCGACTAGACTTTGAATCGCCTGGCTCGTATTTCAGCCACAACCAAATCCTTCCTAACGGTCACTACGGTCCGCCTTTCCACATCTAGCCCTTCTACCAGAAAGTGAACCAGGGCTTTCGACTCTTCGACTTTTGTGCTGCTATCTTTGATGTTGCATACTTGAACCTACCTGTCCCAAATGCTTCTTGTCTTCCGTGAGTTTGTTCTTTGTTGTTTTCTCCTGCTCTGCTTACTCGTTTCGCTTTTTGCTTATTCTTGGTGAGTCCTCGGGTGATTGGGCAGGTGAGCTGTACTCCAGTATTGGTCTTACGATATAAGAGAAAAGACTACTGGCAACCTCTTCAGACCAAGTACAGTAGCTGCGTTTGATTGCCCAAAGCATGCGCAGTCCGGTACGATATAGTCTGTTCGTATAGTCAACAGACTTCACCTAGGTCCTTCACGGAAGGTGTGAGATATAGCGCTTGACCGTCAAAGGTGTAGGTTCGGCCCTCTCCACCCTTCCCCAGGCTCATACATACCGACTTGGATGGGTTGACCTGTAGGCGGACTTCCGCAGACCACATGGAGAGATAGTTGAGGTCTTGTTGTAGTAGGTTACAGTCTTCTGGAGTGCTAATCACTCTCCAAAGTTTCAGGTCGTCCGCAAACAAGGCATTCGACGACCGAAGAAGCTGAGATAGATCGTTGATGTAGTTTAGGATCAGAGTTGGCTCCAGTCTTGGGGTACTCCACTAGATGACCGTGGACCTGTACGCTCCACTTTCGACCAAGGAGGAAGTCCTGGAAATACTGATGCAGTGATCCAGCAACAGCGCACACTCTGAGCTTGTGGGGGAAGATCTCATTGTTTACCTTGTCGAAAACTACTAAAATCGATTTAGATTACATCGACAGATTTCCCGTTTTACTGCCCGCAATCATTCATGCCTTGTCACCAGCAGGTTGATGATGCATGATCCGCCTAGCATAAAACCGTGCTATGTGGGCGTCAGTCGACCATTTACTTGGAGCAGCTTTAGTAGACCCTTCTTCACGATTTTCTCGGCAACCTTGACCCAAGTAGATGACAAATCTGTCTGTAGTTGTCCAATTTGCTGGAGTCTCCGCCTTTTAAAACCGGCTTAACCACTTAGCATTTCCAGTCATCGGCAATGAACCTTCTTCCGTCAGAGCCAGCAGGTTTGGTGGCGTCAAGATTGGCGAGTAGTTGATGCATCTCTTCAACATTGCTAGCCAGATTGTCGAGTTCGGTAAGCGCGGTGCACGTCGAACTCGATACAGATACTTGATCGTTTGCAGATGTCTGTACCGAGTTCGAGGTATACTGCGCTTTCCGAACTCAACAGTCTGGTAGGTGTAGCTACGGATTCGGTTCAGTATATCGGATGAGGCCTCTACTCACTGGTGTGGCTTAACCAGGGCCCTCGTCTAGGAGAATAATCGTAGCTACCGGAGAAGGATCAGAGAGTAGATCCAGGGATGTTGTGTTTGAAGGATGTTACATGAAAACTCAAAACATTGATGAAACCGATCCCAGTGTGCCGAGTCGGGGTTGAACAGCTCCGAAAACGTGTCGGGGTGGGATTTATTGTCTTGGAGTAGCTTTGTCGCATCTAAATTCAGATAATCACAACGCATGCAGAGAAGTGCTAGACGGCCTTTTCGTCCTATTAGGACTCATCAGGAGCACACATCCGCCAGCTCCACACTTATGACTTTATTATTACGGGTCAGCGACTTAAGCCATCGATGACAGCGGCGGACCGCCATGATTGATTTCTAACTGGGATATAGCGCGATTCATCCTCCACTTTCATGTGTGTTATGGTTGTGCAGAAGACGGCCTGCCTCCTAATGTACGACTACACCCCGCCACCCATCGAGGTGGCATGTATGCTGCTAAAGTGCTTACTGATTATTAGAGAGTAGTAGGGGATCTATGTTTTTTGTGAAAATTCGTCGTAACTAGACTTAGGCAGACAGCCACAACGCATGCAGTGGTGTTGGATGGCTTTTTCGTTCTACTGTGGCTCACCAGGGGCACACATCTGCAGGGTCCCGCTGGATTCGAATCCATGACCTTGTTTTGTGAATCAACTACAAAGCCACTGAGCCATAGGTGACGGCGGCATACTGTCGTGGCTGATTTCTATCTGCGATATAGCGCGATTCATCCTCCATTGTCATGCACGTTATAAACGTGCATAGGGCAGGGCTGGTCCTCAGAGCTACGACTACCTTTGCAAGCCGCTACTAATCGAGGTGGCGCATGTTAGCCACTAAGACGATTACTGACCATTAGGGAGCAGTATTCGTAGTACGACTGTAGGAGGAGGAGTGTAAATAGAAAGTAGCTTTTAATAGATCGTTGTGAGATGGATGAAAATGGTCATTTAGAACCCTGGAAAGAAAGATAGTACGGACATCCAGATACCTAATAACACCTGTCAACGAGGAAACCTGTAGCTTAGTCGATGCATTTATGAATGTGCTCCATCGATCGCACCATAAATATATCAGTCTTCTGTAATAGTCCAGGAAAACTAATGGGAGAGAATGCTTGAATTCCAAAATTAAAGTACTATACTACGGGGCATTGAAAAGCATTATGCGTCTGAGAGTATAAAAAGCCGGTCTTACGACTTAAGAAAAGGTTCTACAGGGAAGCGCAGACTAAGATAGGTGGGGAACAAAAGACACCGAGACTGCTTGAATGTGCCATCTGGCCGCTTCTCAATGGTAACATACGTCGATCCACCGGTAACTGCAGGCGACCGCCACCATGAATAGTAGACTGCCGAGGCAGTCACGCAGATGGGGCCATCACAAGCGTTGCTGAAGCCAGTCTCTTCAACTTACTATTTGACCGTCAGATTCTCCTACGTTTTCCATCATCATTGTTTGTTTCTATCATTGCGATAGTAACTTCATCCACCGCACTTGGATACTGTAATCATAGTCGCTCAATCGGACATACTTCTTCACTGACGACTATTCGCGGATTCGAGTCTCTACTTCTGTTTGGGATTAGGCGTCCAGGCAGTGTTCCTAACTGCTTACAACCGCTTGCACGACTGCATAACGATAATACTTTCTGTGGGACAGTGATGCAGCAGTCCGGGGGTTTCGTTTGCCTTCTGTTCGTCCCTCTGTTTGAGTCCCCGGTCACGCCTAGACTTCAGTACTATCTCAACCAGCATGCGACCGTTTACGATTGTGTGACCGCGAAGCATCAGTACAATGTACTGGCATACTTTTGATACTTTAATCTTTCTTCACCAATATGATACACGACTGTATGGAATGATATTTGTTTTCCTACTTTTTGTCAGAACTCTGTGCTGAAATCACTCATACGGCTATTGGGGCCCGCTTGCAACGAACAGTTGGAGAGCGACAGTGAAGTCCATTCAACCGAAATGAAGCCACTTCCCAGTGACATATTTCGACAGTTGAATAGACTATACACTGAATTTCTCGATCCTGCATTCAATCGTCTCCCCCTACGTGGTTTCGTCTTCGATGCAGATGAGCCATTGATCACTCCCACAGACAATATTCACCAAGTAAGAATTGTTCCGGGTACAATTCTCACCATCAAGGTACACAATTATTGTATTGAGTCTTTCCAGATGGTGCGATCCTTGCACAACCATAAACACACATTGCTTCATTATAAGATAAACAGGCACATACCGTGCGACTGCCTACCAGGGTAGTATCCGGTGTTTTGACATGGCGCATAATATTTGTGATGTCCAATGTCAAAGTAAACAAAGCACAAGCTTATCACAGGTAATTCATCGTAACATACGCATGCAGTGTTCTAACTGTCTCGCAAAACTTCACCATCTCGTTCCCGAATGCGACACTGAAGGCTTGAACAACTTTGGGAGGGACGCCATTGAGATGATCAACTGACTGCTTTAAACCTACAATATCAAACTTCCGCTACGCATTAAAAGTTTCGTATCTGTTACTTTTACTCCATGCCAAATTCGCGCAACTGACAACATTTTTATGTAATAAATCGCAACCTACTTCAGTCAGACATGAGGAAGAGTTTACGCATGCGTACAGATGCAATGGAGATCACTTGGCTCCAGAGCATTGGGTTTATGGGCATAAACCCCGAATCAAAATGATATCTCCTGCGGCACGGAATTGGTTTCGATGGGGCTAGCGCATCCCCAGTGACGCCGCGAGTAGTATGCAGTGACAGTCACGTTGGTTTGTTAAAGCAATAGATGGGTTGACTTGAACGTGTGCCGTGTATACCTGCTCACTGCTTACCGAGAAGGGGCTTGTTCTCTTCCCCAGATAAAGACTAGCATAAAGCTCGCGGGGAACAAAAGTTGACTTGATGGCAGGAAATGAAGTCACTTACTACTAAGACTGGTGTCATTGGTTCGTTTCGCTTTCCAAGCAGGGGTCTGCGCGACCCAGTTTGTGCCTGGCTCAAGAGGTGCAGTAAATGGCTTTCAAACGGCACCTGTGGCGCATCTGCGGTCTCCTAGTCGAACTGCTTGTTCACGGTGTGTCTAATGTTATCTGTGGAATATGGCAGTGAAAGCTACAGGGAGGTTATCCAACCAACATCATCTTCCCATGATAATCCTCTGTTTGTGGCCATGGGTTTTCGGCGAGTTGCAGAAATGTTGATTCTGGATATTTGATTAGGTTTTACACTAGGGCATCTTCTCTCCCTCTATTAATTCTCATTCCTTCAATCATCCTGGTTATGCGACAGCGAGATGTTATTATTGTGGTTGATGATGATAAGCCGGATCTCATAGGACCGAAGTCTGCACTTAGCACCAATGTCGACCGGTGGCCGAGAGATTATACGCTTGCCTTGTAACCCCTGGGTCACCGATTGGAATCCGCATAGGTGCAGATGATCTCATGATGTATCAGGCCCATGCGCGACTGGTGGTGATCGCATGCTAAGGAAGCGTTGGCACGATGTGCCGGTGTACTGCTGATGCCTTACCATATCGACCACGTGCTAAATGGACTGGTAGTTCGATTGTCAGACTGATTCTACGGTTAGTTGGCCGTTGACTTTTGCAGTACATGGTGCGTGCGTAGGATCGCGATTTGCTGTGGTTATGTCGATCGCATGTAAGTGTTGAGTGTTATTCCCCACGATTAGCTTCATCAATGCTTTAGTTCTTCGGACACAAGTAGCGGAACTGTCAATCAAACTCGAGATTTTTTTTCTTTCTTCGATAGATATCTGGCTTGCCGAACAACCTCCAAGTGGTGTCGTCGGCAGTGCTCCAGGAGTAGTGGGCTTTCGCTTGTTCGTTTAAAAACACTGCGACAAAAGGACGGATGTGATTCTCCACTAAATAAATTCACCGCCCCTTGCTTCATTCCGGTGGAGCATTGTATTCCAGCACCCTCCTGCTGAAATCGTGAGGGATTGGGTCTCTGTTTGGTAACCGACCAGACGAAAAGCGGGTGAACTGAGCAATCAGTCACTGGCTCCCAATAGGCACGATTCCCTGAATTTGCCCCGATGCGTTGCGGGTAGGGCATTTAGCCAAAGGCTTGGGGTGGCGTCCCAACTCAACACCCAACTTCGGCTTGGGCAACGGCATAGTATCTTGCCATCTGAGGAAACCATGGATTTCTCTGTGTAGTGTTCGGTTTTCTTCTTGTGGCGACTGTACTTTCCTTTGATTTCCGTAGTTTTCGATGCCTCTTTGTCTATTCGTACACTAATGAAAAAATAAAATAATATCTTCACACTAGTCCACAATGGTTACGAACCCATTATGTATACTGAGTGCGAAACGTAAATTGTCGTGATTTTTGAGAGTCGAAAGAATGACGCGCTGCGCATTCCATCTCATTTTCCAGTTCATCGGAGCCAGTGAACGCACTGCCGAGTTGGTGGAAGAGCTAGCCGACGTGGTGGAAAGAACCGCAGACTATCTGGAGTCCACGGCAGTCCCGCTGGCTCGTGAACAGCTACAGCGGCTTAGTTCCGTCTGTCAGCTGTTTGCGCACGAAGCATCTCTCCGATTCCTTCAGCTACAGCAATCGTGGTTGAGAGAGTTCGTTTCAGACCCATAGCACTTGGCTTATCTACAATCTCTTGTATTTCGCACACACATACATATCCGTTTTTTTCAAAAGGTTTTCTGATTTGCTCCTATTCTGTATCCAATGTGGACCGCGCGTTTTCAAATACTAACCAAACCAATTGTTGGACCATGTTAGATTACACGTTGTGTGATTGGATTGCGACGCGTAATATCAATGTGGACCGCGATTCACATTCTAGTGAACCTTGGTCACCGCGATGACTGGGACCGTAGCCGAAGCAGATGGAAATTAGGTGTTGGCCGCAGTGTTTTCGTACGGGCAACACCTAATTTCCAACTAATCATTCCAATACTATGAATCTTATTTCAAACAAATTTCTGATGCTCTGGCCACCGCAGAGGATAATCAACGGTGCCCTATCTGCTGCATCGAGCAGGATGGGTAGGGGTTTGGGTGCTATTGCTCAAGCCTTCCCGTCTTCTTATTCCCCCTCTTAGGCTTTTTCACCTATATCGTCCCGTTCCAGCTTCACTTTTACTCCCTCTGTTTTAATCCCCCATTCTCGGCCCTCCCCCACCTTGCTTCAATAGTCGCTTATCTTGTAGTTTCAACTCACATGTGAACGCGGAGCGTCATTTCTGTCCTGTTAACAGGCCCCTGTCTAAGCAAGCGGTCAAACCCAGTTCATCGGCTACCATTTGGAGCCCTCAATCCTCCTTCAGATTGGCATGCCTCAGTGTATGCACATTGCTACAGAACGGTCAACAGGCAGCACTTGCCCGAACATTGGGGACCCTCTCGATGGATATCTGCTGCTTATCGGAGACCCGCCTGCAAGACTCGAGCTTAATGCTCACTTTGCGATCCCTTCAAGTGACACCAGCAGCACTTTCTCATTGCGCCTATCCGGTGACAATGCAGCTTCGAGTACCGGCCAATCCGGTGTTGGTATTGCCCTGAGTCCCCGGGCTGAAACTGCTCTGGTTGATTGGATTCCAATCAGTAGCCGGATGTGTGCGGTCCGATTGGCTGGGTCGTTCCAAACTTCGAAGTCGCGTGGGACTAACAGGTGTCTGTTTGTTATCGCTGCTTATGCACCGACAAACTAGCGATGACTCGGTAAAAGACGACTTCTATCGTCAACTGAACGAGCTCCTTAGCCACAGAAGAAGCTCGGACACTGTAGTGTTGGCCGGGGATCTGAACGCTCAAGTTGGAAAATTATCCACTGATGACCTGCATTTGGGCGGCCAACATGGTGTAGGCTCCCGTAATGATAACGGTGAGTGGTTACTTCATTTGTGTGAGGATGCTCGCTTATTTCTTGCGAGCACTAATTTCCGACAGCACCCGCCGGAGGGTGACTTGGCGCCCACCAGCGTCGAACCAGCCTTGGACGCAAATCGATCACATTGCGATAAGTTACCGATGGTGAGGCTGCGTCCAGAACTGTCGCTCGATTTGGAGCACAGGTGTTGACACCGATCATGCACTTGTATGTGCTGACCTGCGGATGCGCTTTGGCGGACGCCCAAGACGATGTTGTGAGCGCATTGACACCAGCCAACTGGCGAAGCCAACTGTTCTGAATGAGCATCAAAGTACGCTGTCATGCGAGTTGGATGAACGCTCACTGGTTGCAGTTGAAGGTCAGTTGAAGGTCACTGGTCTCGTATTCACCAGACCTGACTTGCTGCAGGAAAATTCTCATGTGGTATGTCTAATCACCAACATGGACATTGGGTCTCTTCACGGTCTCTGGAACTTATAGTTGCTCGCCGGCATATTCCGGCTAGGCGCGAACACAATGAAACTCGCAAAGAGCTCCGGGCGAAACTCCGTGCTAGCCTGAAGAGGGACCGCGAATCCTGGTGGTCTCATTGTGCATCAGAAATGGAATTGGCAGCTGCCCTTGGTAACCATCGTAAGTTCTTCTGTCTGATACGGGAAACGGGCAGCAGGAGACCTGGTGTTAGTGAAACGATTTGTGATGAGAGTGGACAACCTTTCCACGACTTGTCAAAACGTTTGGAGCGTTGGGCTGAGCACTTTGAAAGGCAATTTAATCGGTCTGAACTGTTAGATTTCTCGCCGGCCAGTGATCGCCCCGCTCTCTCGGCTGTCCGATTGGATCCACCCTCACTCAGAAGTCGGACGTGAAATCGGACTTTGGAAGTTCAGTAAAGCCGCGGGACCTGATGATCTTTCTCCAGCTTTCTTCAAATTCGGGTCGGTACGTTCGACCCTACTGTACGGTTGCGAAACCTCGCCCCTTAAATCAACGGACCTGAAGAGGCTAGTTACGTTCGACCATTGATGCCTTCGCAATTTAGCTCACATCTGGTGGGAACACCGCGTGAGCAGCGAGCGTGTTCGACGCATTGTTTACGACACACGGAAAGGAACTGAACCGCTCAGCACCGTTATTTCACGCACCAGGCTCCGATGGCTTGACCACGTGTTACGCATGCCAGTCCACTTACTCCCGCGACATGCGTTGTTTGCGCGCCGGGGTGTGGATGGAAGAAGAGGGGTGGCCAAGCGATGCCTTGGTCGAGAGAAATGAAGGCCCTCACTTCTGAGCTGGCCTCGGTTGGAGCGTCTCGGCTCCCTGGTTGGGGTCGGAAGGACGATGAACATGTTTGGTTGGACACACTTGCTGACATGGCAAGGAGCCGATCACAGTGGCGTTCGTGCTGTGAGTTCCTTTGTCCCACTCCACCTCTCTTAGCCTCCCCCTCCAACCACGATCTCATTATTTGGCCTTATATAATTTTGCATAATAATTTTTTTTTGGGTGCACAGCAGCCGGCTGGTAGCTTACCGGAACGATGCCCATCCGTTACCGGTAGCTCAGCTGGCTTGCACCAGTTGCTTTTTTTCTCCTTTTTTCTATGTATTGCGGCACAGTAGCTGAGGTGTTCCAAATCACTGGCTAACGTGTATGAAGATGATGATTTCATTTTGCAGTGCGTCGTTTTAATGAGAAAACGGTTTCCAATAGGTCACATCCCCTTCAAGAACAGGAAGGACGTTAGGTACAGTGAATTGCCATGTGGGAATTGACGCATTATATATATTTGTTGGCGGCATCCGATTCCGGATTTGTTTGTCAGTGCGATCTCCATAGGACAGCCACAGGACGCCTGCGTCCACAGAGGGATCATAGGCAGCTTGCGCTGTACCACCCACAACTCCACCCACACACCACATATCCAGTGTAAACCCGAAGGAATACGATCGGGAGGCATGTGGATGGGAGCCACTTTTTATCAACGGAACGGGCCCACACTCCTTTAACAAGCACAGCAGAAGCACTCATGCGTATCAGACGTACACAAGGCGGTGGCTGGGCCCCATCGCAATGAGGCTGGACCTTTCCGTGGTGCGATGGTTTGTGTGCCTCTGTGATCCATTGAGCTATACTGGGTGGTGCTTTTGCACCTTCAAAGCCACTCATACCAGATTGGTCAATGGTTAGAGGCCAGACAAACTCAGCCTCCTGGTCCTCCAGGTTGGGGGTTGGAATGAGGGTGGCTCCTTATTCCTTAAAACGGACTCCTTGTAGCCCAATGCCAAACCCGCTGCTTTGCGGTCAGGTTTTTTAACCAAAGGCTTTGGTTGAGAACCCTAATCGTTCTCCTGTCTAGGCCTGGGCAACCTGACAGTATCCTGCTCACGCAATACCATGAATCACACTTCAAACAAATTTCTGATGCTCTTGCCACCGCAGAGGATAATCAACGGTGCCCTATGTGCTGCATCGGGCAGGGTAGATAGGGGTTTGGATGCTACTGTTTAATGGTTGATGTTTGTGAGTAGTGTGAAGTTCGAAGAAAGTAGAAGCCACTATTAAAATTCACGCACAATAATATGCCTCGACGGGGAGTCGAACCCCGGTCCACGAATTTCCGGTCCGTTGCTCTACCACCTGAGCTATCGAGGGCTGACGATTAGGTGCGCAAATTTTAACACATGTCTTCTGCTTGGTGCGCGACGTGTTGCCAATAAGCTCACAGTACCTGTCCTGATGTTGCAGATTGGCTCCCTCACCCGTCACTTCCCAATAGACCGAAGTTCCTGTCCTTCAGACGTCCAATGGGCGATGGTAGATTAATGGTTGATGTTTGTGAGTAGTGTTAAGCCTTCCCGTCTTCTTATTCCCTCTCTTGCGCTTTTTCACCCTCATCGTCCCGTTTCAGCTTTACTTTTCTCCCCCCTGTTTTCAAACCCCCAATTCTCGGCCCTCCCCCACCTTGCTTCAATAGTCGCTTGCCTTTTAGTTTCAACTCGCATGTGAACGAGGAGCGTCATTCCTGCCCCGTCAACAGGCCCATGTTACGCCCACATGTTACGCATGCCAGCCAACCGACTCGCGCGACGTGCGTTGTTTGCGCGCCGGGGGTGTGGATGGAAGAAGAGGAGGGGTGGCCATGCGATGACTTGGTCCAAAGGAATGAAGGCCCTCACTTCTGAGCTGGCCTCGGTTGGAGCGTCTCGGCTCCCTGGTTGGGGTCCGAAAGACCATGAACACGTTTGTTTGGACACACTTGCTGATACGGCTAGGAGCCGACCTCAGTGGCGTTCGTGCTGTGAGTTTCTTTATCCCACGCCATCCCTCTTGGCCTCCCCCTCCAACCACGATCTCGTTATTTAACCTTATATAATTTTGCATAATAATTTTTTTTGGGTGCACCGTAGCCGGCTGGTAGCTTACCGGAACGACGTCCATCCGTTACCGGTAGCTCAATCGGCTTGCCCCAAATGAACTCTTTTTTTCCTCTCCTTTTTTCTGTGTATTGCGGCACAGTAGCTGAGGTGTTCCCCACCTCTCGCTAACGTGTATGATGACGATGATGATGGTGGCTGGGCCGTAGTTCGCTCCACTTTGCATGAGTGGGACCACTTTTGGAGCTTAGCATGATCACGAGAACCGTGCACCCCGTCACCTCAGCAAAGACCAACTATCCTCTAGATGATGTTATACAGGTATGCACCTTGTCAACATTCACATCAAGCGCAGCCAAACCGGGGATATCAAACAACCAACACAGAATTTGAAGGAAAATAAATGCGCTAATTTGACACAAGATATTCAGAAGAATAACAGAACTGGGAAAATCAAATAAAGGGGAATATTTT